ACTCGGCCACGGCGTCCGTACTGACACATTAAATTCAAAAATACTGAAAGATAAAGATTAACTTGCAGAGCTTAGATTAGAAAATAAGGCTTATTGATATAGGGGTCAAGTGTTGACTTCTCAAAAAAGAAGCTTTCGGCGGTGATCAATCCCTGGGCGATTGGTCATGCATCGAAATCACCAACATCAAATAGGCAACTTAATGCATACTTGGTTCATCCATTGATTTACAGTGGTCTGCTGTTGTATCAAACAATTTTCCTCCTAAACAACTGTGGTACAAATTTCCCTTAAGGAGAAAAAGGTGTACCACAGCCGGGACGTGGCATCGACCCAGTGATCGAAGGATCAGTTTAATCTATACTGTAGAACTCATTACAGAAGCGCTCAAAAATCTTAGACTGGATAGGTCGTTTTTACTTCTTAATTCTGCCATTTACGATTATGTTGACGATTTAATGCTCTTCAGTACTTCAAATGTACTACACGGTTGCGTCGTTTCCCTTTGAGGGATCGCAGTCTAGACTGCGAGAATGCTTACTACCATGGAAAGCGTGAAAAGCGATAACAAACGGAATACAAGCATGGGCTTGTGGAACGTGATGGTTCAATTCGTAATATCGATTTCACATTTGAATTTCCAAAGATCAACACTTATGTTCTGGAGAATTACATCATACAGTGGAGGGTTTAGGACCACAGTTGGATCAGTCATTTCTATAGCTCAAAAGTCCGACTATCTCTAACCTCGGCATGACTAAAGAAATGTAAAAATTCTTACAGACTGTCCTTCTTTTTACTTGAAACTTGCACAAGGTTGGTACTTCTTTTTGCTCAAAATTTTGATAGCTAACGTTTTCGAGGCAACACCTTCGTCAGAACGATATTTATAGTTACATGAGACGGTCACCAGTCTTGTGTGATACAATTAAGAATGTTCCTATTTTTTGTCAGATGTTTAATGATTTTCCAAATTGTGTCACACAAGACCAATGACCGCTCTCATATAACTTTAAATAAGGCTCTAAGGAAGGACTTGACGGTGAAACGTTAGCCACCAGAATTTTGAGGAAAAAGGAGTGCCAACCTCGTATAAGGTTTAAATGAAAAAAGGACTCATTTCTTTGTTTTTCAAAAGCCACCTATAAAGAAATCCGCTTTTTCTCTGCATCCGCAAAATATGAATATCCCTGGAAGTTCGCTGAAATGTTCATTACCCAGTGATCGGGAGAGTTCTCCCAACATTGCCGTGAGAGATGTGCCTGAACATTCCGGGATCTCCAACGCAGGCATGCAGGCCCTTATAAACAGATTAGAAAAGACTTGCTGTTTTGTGATTCACAATCTTAAAGAATAACGAAGAGTCCTACACCGCCAACGAGCCTTGCTATTAGTCAACTGGAAGCTCCAAGACTATGAAACAAACCTGACTTATATTAGTATTTATCTGTTATCAGTATATATTTCTTATTCTCTTTTAAATCCAATCATGAGGTAATATGACACAAGTTATTCAAACGGCTGAGTTTTGGCAGTTTCACCCTCTTCAAAGCCTGGAAACATCAGGTTATCCACATTTATTCAATCAAACACTTTCGTGCTTTCAACCTACTCATCGATTTATTTTCAATTTTTATTGTCACCTTCCATAGAGTTATTCAAGAGTAGATCTAAGGGCAGAGATCACATGAACTCGTAATGTACCTCCTGCATCAGAGCAACTGTCTCGTATACTGAATCATATGAGGAGTGATTCAGAGGCATTCTTCTATGCGGTTTATAGTCGGATCGATAGCGTTGATCCAAAGCGTTTCTAAAACTTTCTCAATGATGCTTCATGTTCCTGAGCGAGGATGATGACTTCTATGTCGAAATTTACTTCGCTATGCTTGCCTAGCGGAGTGTTTGGCTTGATGTGACGCTTGTCAGCGTCTTTTTTTTCTTTATGAAAACACAAGGTGGCCCACCCGTTTCATCAATGTATTTTCGCCGCTCTGTTTCTATCCCTATTTCCTCTTTCCATTCTTTTTTCTTCACATATTCTACTCTCTGCTCTCTTCCACTACATAAAACTGCAGCTGTCTGGGAAATGTTTAGTTCGGGACATGTTTGACAATGTTCAGTGACAGCTAGAGATACATTTTTTTTATGCAAGGATGTGGTAATATCCATTGAAAAAGGCACAATATTGAGAAGCTTTGGCATTAAACTTGCTAATACTATTCATGCAGGAGTCTCATCAGTGATACTTTACCGCTTTTTTATGATAATGTTCCTCTGAGAACTTAATTAACCCAAATATCTATTGGAGCACACACCAATCTTCTCAGCCGTCCGAATGGCGCGTTCACGTAGAGGTCATAATGACTTTCAATGTCCGCAAAGCGATATCTAAATACATTATATATATATATATATATGTATATATATATAAATGTATACAGATATACGGATGCGCCATGCACTCACCTTCAATTTTTAACTTCATTTGAGATGATTGAGTACATATGTGGCCTTTCAAATGGCTCCCTATGGCCTCCCGCTGCATTGAGTCATGGTTGCTTATCCTCCCAAAGAAGTCTATGGCAATCCTAGTACCGATTCACCGACCCCGGAGGATGAATGACTACTGAGTCATGAGCGCGAGATCGGACCGTCGACCTCGTGTGTGACGTAGGCATCTTCAATGACTGCGTCACATGCGCTCCATTAGTATGTGCGTGAATATATATATATATATATATATATCACCTGTATCACCTGTCGTCCCGTTGATCGTCGAGTGACTCGAGCGGGTACCAGCAACTCTTCCATTTTTCCCTATCGCGTGCAAGAGTAGCCCAGTGGGTCCTCCTCGCTCTAGGGATTCGCTGAACATCGTATCTTTCTTCTGTCGTTTTCGTGAAGGAATCGGACCAACGGGTCAGTGGTCTTCCTTTAGAGCGCTTGACGTCCCGAGGAATCCAGTCGGTAACGGCTCTCGTCCATCGGTTGTCGTTGAAGCGCATCACGTGTCCGGCCCACCTTATTTTCGATATCCTGGCGTGTAGAACGGCGTCTCTGATTTTCGGACGTTGACGTAGGTTTGGACTTCGGATCCTTTCTCTCATTTGCGAGATACGGGATACTCCTAGCATCGACCTTTCGACTGCGCGTTCAATAGCGCCAAGTGATCTTTCATCCTGCTTACGTAGCGACAAGATTTCTGCTGCATAGGTTGGAGTAGGGATAATTGTCGAGTCGAAAAGGTGGGAACGGAGTCGGATGTTCTTAGTCCTCTTCACTACATCTTCAAAGCTCTTAAACGTTCCCCAAGCCTCTCGTTTCCTCCTGCTCAACTCTGGAGCTAGGTCGTTCATATATATATATATATATATATATATATATATATATATATATATATATATATATATATTATATATATATATATATATATAATTTGATTATATAGACCCTCCTACTTCATTATTACCATTCTGGAGTTTGAACCTTCTTATTTCCTTAACAGTTTCCTCATTCTCTTTGAGTGTTTATATGAAATTGTAAGCAAGTATGATGAGAAACCAGTTAATCTCGAATTGCGCAAGACACATGTTCAGTAAAATTTCTAAACCCGTATGGAATACGGCACTATTTCAGGGACCCACTTATATACGACATTCGCCGCTCGTGGGGTGACAGCGGCCTTTACTTATTTTCTGCCGCAGGTGATAAATGATTATTTGAGCAAAACTAAAAGAGGTGCGCACTTCGCTGTTTCGTTTGTCATCGCTTCAAGAAATGCGGTTGCCTAAGCTTGGAGTGGTGTACTCGATCTCTTATAAAGCATTTTGGCACGAATGCATTGAGATTACGGGTAGAACCGTTCCACAACCTATAGAACAACACCTGGTTGGAAAGCCAAGCTTAGAAAACACTCTATTAGACATCTGCGGTGCATAGAGAGATCGATTCAAAGCATAGGTCGTATTGCCGCAAACATCTGCGCAAAAGATTTTCAACGTATTCGAGTTCTGAAATCCAAAAATCAGCTGTATAGAGGGTGTAGAGTGATTACACATGGCCCCAAGCCATAGTCTGAGCTAATTTGTTCTGCTTTGAGCCAAGCACATTGTTAGCCCAAGCAGGGTGCGGCTATTCTCCAAAGAACCGTTCAATTACTTGAGAACGTAAAAGTTTTGCACATTACTCAATCTGATAATATATAAAACGAAATATTTATTTTCCTCAAAGGGTTGAGATATTCATAACGACAACAGCATTGTTTTGCGCTATAAAGCTGAACAAAAAATGCGCACTGTGAAATGTGAGATCTAAGGATTTTTCGAAAAAAAAAGTCTATATAAAAAGCTTGTCTTCAAGAGTCTCCGAGATCCAAGCTATCAAATGATTACTGTAGGTCTGAAAAAAAAATGGGAAAAGTCTTTCCTTAGGAGGGTTGAAAAATACATCCCGTTATCGAGTGTGTACCCATAATGTAGTTTGAAATCGACTTTCTCAATATTCCATCACTAAGAAGTAATAAATCGATCTAAGTTCTCGCGTAATTTTTTCAAAAAGTCAGCAATTTTAGAATAGAGTGAATAGCGTAGAGTAAAAACTTTTGATGGAAAGAGAAGCTTGATATCTGCTTAATGAACACCGCTTTTTGCTCTTGCAGTTAGCGCGTATTAGCGTGAATACTTCCAACATTCAAAAGGCTCGTCACTAAAAAATGGTGATGAGTTTTGTGTTCAGTGAAGCATTTTCATTTAAATATACTAGGATCAGAAGCCGTGGTACAGCAGTAGTTTTCACCTGCCAGATAATGGATGTGCTTTTGTCAGCACAGCAGTAATTCCTAGCACTGATTTACTTTCGGCTTGTTAAAATACTAGCAAATTTCAATAATGAGACAGTATGAAGTGATTTGGTTCGATGTTAGTCTTCTGTGGATGACTATGATCGTGTAAGATATCACATACATAACAGCGTTATGAATTCAGAACTGGTGACTGATATGCAACCTCGAGTGGGAGTTGAGCCCAGGTCTCACCTTTTTTGGAGATACGTGCTAACCATTGCACCACCGCTGTTGCTGTTCTGCTAACATTGTGATATGAGGTGTCGGAGGTGTGAGCAATCAACCGTCAACGGATATGCTCTGGAAGCACATTTCGGCACTACACCGAATCAAGATGACAGCTAATGGGTATGCATGATTTACAAGGATTCTTCATTTTCCCTCTGTAGTAGCAGTTTAGCAACCATGCGTGGGAATTGAACCCGTTCCCCCCATCTTTCCCGGGGATCACTGTATATTATATCAGATTGTACGAAGGTGATTGCGGCTTCAGATTTAAGGCTCTGCTATAATTTCGGAGTTGCTGACAGATGCGACACTTTAGGAGAAAAAAGATTACAGAACAGTTCCGATAGAGCAGTGGTTGGCACGCTTCTCCTGAAAGGGTGAGACGTGGGTTAAACTCCAGTCTGAGGTCCGAAATCTCGCAAAGCATTCAGTATTTTTTGATATAAAGATCAATATCTTGATCTCAACGTCTTAGTGTTCAGCACTTCTGAGGAGAATCCTTATAATCTAGACAGTGTTAGTAAGGAAAGTCAGTTTACACGCCAGAATTCTCATTGAATGGAGAAGTCCAATTAGGTGGTGCTTCATGCCCTTCCAATTCCTCATAAATTCTTCAATCCGTTCTTCCATTCCTTGACTCTTTTCTAAATCTCTATTCCCTTAATCTTTGATCCCTTTCCTTTCCCTTAGTCTCTTGATTTAGTTCATTTTTTCAATTTCTCATATACTCATTTCCTTTATTGTATATCTTTTCCATTGATCCCTTGATTCCTTAATTTTTTGATTCTCTCTCCAATTTATTTCTCTTTCTATCGATTATTATGTTCGCGTTTATTCTAAAATTACAGGCTATGATTACAATTGAGACCTCCCCACTATTTTATGCTTTTAAGGCAGATAATGTCTTAGCCAGATCAAAAACCATTTAGTGGAGAGTACACAAGGATTGGTTCTCCACCTATCCATCTCTTAATACTATTCCCTCATCAAATAGTAGAGTTTTCAGTTGATCTTCCCCATTGCTGAGTTTGTAGATTTCAATATTTTTACTCATATACCAGGTCTTCAGTTTTCTTCGAAATTTCTTCATGTCCTTTCGTCGAGTTAGAACGGTACGGAATTTTGTACACAGATTTCCGGCTTCTCTTTTGAATAATTCTCACATGCCGTTCAGTAATTTCAAAAAGCTTTGTCATCTTTCTTGTGTACAACTGCCACAATCCCCTGATAACATATTTTGAGCCTCTTATGAGGTGTGATATGGCACTTTAGAGTTGGACGTACATTTAAGCTTCCATATCAAGCCTCATCAGTAGCACATGCCTTTCAATTCAACCCAGTCCCTTCATGTAAGGAAATCGGTGCCGAACATCTTACACTGCACGTTCGATGAAAAGATCACCTGAAGTTGCAGTAAAAGCCGATTGTTCGACATTATAACATATATAGCAATATTTTTCTATTTGATTGTTTCTCTTTCGCTATCAAATTACACTGGATTTCAAGGGCGGTCTCAAAAAACAGTCAGATTCAAAGGTATTGCTACATTTGTTTCACCAGTCGTCGAGCAATTGACTGCCATTACAATGTCAGGTGGTCTTTTCTCCGAGAATGAAGTGTGAAATGTTTAGTTACGATTCTCTCATATGTACGGGCTCGGTTGGATGAAAGGCATGTGCTAGTGGTGATGCTTGACATAAAAGCCAAAGTGCACATCTAGCTTTGAAGTGCCATATCATGAACCTCACGAAAGGCTCGAAATATGTTATCAGACTATATTTTTTCGAAGCGAGATCTAAAAAACAGTCGAATAAAAAAGGTATAGTTGTAATCTTCGTTCACATCCCTAGTTTACATCCATTGGTAGAACGTTTTTATGCGAAGGTACTTACCAAGTTAAATGACTACAAAACAACTCTAGTGGAATTGGATTACCAAAACGAAGTTTACTACGAAATTGATACAGATGTGGGCGTCAACCTTATTGATCCAGACATCATAAAGTTGATCCGAATAAGATAATTCAGTTACATTTGTAATTCCCATAATTTCGCACATCTTGCCAAATTTCGTCAGTCGGATGAGATGTCATCAAACAATTCAGCATATAAAACAAGTTTAGCTTTCACACACTTCAGCTGAATGAAAACGATAGCTACTTCTGGAAAACGAGGATCTAAACACGAAGTAGGGAGGATATTGGAAACATGAACATTTGGCGCTGTGCGAAATCTGTGTAAAAAAATATTGAAAAATAAATCCGTTTGTCTACCACCATGTGTTTGTCTACCACCATGTAAATCCCACAACCGAGTGTGGCGCAGAGGTTTCAGGTGACCTGCGACGAACGACGGTTCGATGTGGCGTCTGAAGCTCATCAAGCTTTTTAACTCGCCAGAGTTGGTGACTTGTAACCAGATTTTTCTGGAAGGATAGCAGCCTTGACTTGATACGTCGTTAGGCCACTGTGAGATCTTGTAAATGCCAAATATTCATTCACTCACCTCGAAACGATAACTGATGAAATTGAATGCAAGGCACATCTCTCGAAAATTTGTAAACGCCAGAAACACCTTCAAATCTTTATACTGTTTAACGGTGTTATTTCGCTGTTGTTTAATCAGTGGTACCATGTATACAAAGATTTAATTACACGAGTTTGTGACTCGGCTCTATTTTGGAAAACCGAGTGATTTTGCGAAACTCTTCGCAGCTAATACGAATAAAACTAGCGCAGTTAGGAATTCACTGACTCCCTCCACGACTATGGAAAACATCAGAATCAGAAAATTTTGCAACCTTGAATAGTGAAATGCTCTTCAACACTCAATTACACTAATGTTCATCTTGTGGTCACCTTCATGTATTGACAGCTTCTCTATGAGAATGAAAAAGTAAAACAAATCTTCATGGGCTAATCCATTTATACTGAGGGTGACTTTAAACAAAAAAAAACATGTAAAGCAAATTCAGGAAAAAAAGAAGCTTCATAGGTAACGCCGTAAAAAGGAAAAATATCACAATACCTTTAAGCGAATAAATTAACAGGGGTAATGTGAGAACAGAGTGAAAATAGCCTCAAGTGTGATATAAAGACAAACCGTGCAATGACCCACATTTGACTACGGAATTAAAAATTAAGCTTTATGTACAAATCGGTGCAGAACACAATCTCCATTTACAGTAATTCTATCTATTAATTTAGGGTCGTCACCATCTCGATATCTGAAGCTCAAAAACGGTACGCCATCAACGTCTACCTGAAACAAACGTCAAAAAGCTTTAGTTGAACTTTCGCTGATGGAGTAAGTGTCTAAGTATCAAAATACATAGGAAACATTACTTACACTAACACGTGAGTCATAAGCAATGAAGAGAATGTCGGAAGTGATCCCTTTTGAGAAAGGAAATCTAGTGATGTCACGTTCTTCTTTTTGCCATACAAGGTTTTTAGTGCTTCCGCGCACAACCGCATCCTGAGCACAATCAGATGTGGTTATCACAAAAATGAAGCTATTGTAAGATCCGAGAACAAATGAAGAAACAACATCTCCCGCTGAACAAGAACTTTTCACAAAAGTGTTCGTAATTATTCAAAAGCTTAAATCTCTGGCTACTTCGTTACAAGCTTCTTTTCTGAAAAGATCTTTTTATAACGCTGCAGCATTCAAAATAAGATTTTGTTTTACACCGGCCGCGCTAACTTCACTGGAAGCACGAAAAGCACATGGACGTGTAGAGGATATTTCGTATGTCACAGTCACTTATTTTTATTGCGGAGTTTCATTGAAAGCGAAGAAAAAAATTTATACTCTTGTTTTGAGTGTTCTATTGAGACCACGCTAAATTTTCAATAGAACCTTTCATCATTATTTGAACCAACATGTCATGTGGTCTGGCAAGGCTCTCGTACAACCTGATACACGTGTTTTGCCCTTACAGACTCGTCAGTCGGGCAGAACCCGTCGTCTTTCGATCTTCTTATTAGTCGGTTCTCTCAAGAGCAGCTCTCCCTGCAGAGAGGTAACGAAAACAAACGATTTACACTGTAAATCAAGTGAAAATATCACCGACCTTACAGTACACAAGAGCCGTTACCAGATCACATGACATGTTGGCTCAAATAATAATGAAAGGATCCAAAAAAAAATCCCAAATTAAACAACAAGAATTTCACTCTTTCACTCCATATGTAAGTCGTGCAACGCGATCAGTCGATCGCCGTTTGCAATCCACGGCCAACCGTCACCCCTTTAGCACATACACTAGCTAACAAACAAAAGCGCCGCGCGTGTGAAAATCAACGTATTTCTTCTGTTGAACTGCAGTGAAAAGTCTTTTTCAAGAAATGAACAAATCGTCAGAATCGTCAAAATTTACGTTATCGAATGACTATTTATGATTCGAATAAAAAGTACTACCCTGCAAGAAATATGCGCGTATGGAACACAAGTCTTTTCGTTATAAAAAGGTCTTTACAATAAACCGCCACATAGCACTGCAGCTAGAGATTCAAGCTTTCGAACAACTACTAAAGGTGCAATGAAATATTCTTGTCCAGTGAAAAGGGTTGTTTCATCATTTGTTTGCGGATAACAATAAAGGACCTGAATGGAAATGACTTCTCAGAAACAAATTATTTACCTTGCTTCCTTTATCGTTCTGGTTGCGCAAATCAACTCGGAAATGAAAGAAATGCTCCTCTCCTGCCATTAAGTTGCAAGTGAATCGTTTACCACTCACATAGGGAGTGAGCGTAAAACGTATACACTGCGGGCTGGTAAAACCTTTACCCTTAAGCTCTGCTGGAAGGACCCAACTGAACGGCATTAACTGAAAGCAATACTCTCAAGTATAAATATGCTGTACGTAGCCAAAAACGAGAGAAGAGTTGTCCACAATAATGTGATACATCATCGTTAGCAACTAGTATTAACTTACGGGCCTTTCTAATGCCGTTACTTTTTCTTCACGTTTTTCCTCCTTAGTTACTACAGGTTTTCCTTC